TTTGGTCTACTTCAAAAAAATAAAATGCGAGCGTAGATTTTTAAACACCGCAAACGAGATACGTGGTTTGGTAGTTTCACCGTCGATATCCTGGTTTATTTCAGAGAGAACATATGTGTCATTAATTCTTCTATGCAGCTAAGTGTTTTTATCAATGAGCTGGAAATTTTAGTTCCGAAACGGATGCTATTCCGGGTGCCATCCGTGTCCGTAATTTCGGATAGCCCCCAAGTTCTCACAATCGAAAGTTTCGGTCAATACCACCATGCGGAAAAAAACGCCGTAAGAAAATATGTATTACTATTTTATTGCTGTTTTTATTGATTTAACGATTTCTTTTTATTTGCCAACTTTTGGTTTTTCAATAATATTTATGATTTAATGTACTCGGTATTCGATGACCTGACAAACAGGGCTATGCTCTATGCCTTGTCGCTAGTAGAAAAAGAAGAAGAAGAGGAAGAAGATGAACATTCCAATATTGCCGAATTTCCGCCGATAAAATATTGATTTCTATGAAGAGATTATGAATATTTTTCCTCGAGGTTTTGAGATGTTTTACATTAGATAGCGAGTAAAATTCGCAAAAAACTTGGAAGAAAAATAATCCAAATTTCCCAGAAAATTCGAACTTAATCAAAGAAAATCTGACAACCTCTAAAAGCTCATTGACCACGTTGTGCGTTGCGTCGGGAATGGACTGTAGCGTGGGAGTTGAAACACCACGCACCGTACGCACGCGTTCGCTGACCGAGCCGCATTGCCTAATGGACAACATTTTGAAGGATTTTGAGAGTCTTTTCCTCGAGTAGGTAACCCATTTTATAAAGGGTATTATTAAAAAAACCATGAAAGGGTAGTGATGTCAGGTTTTTTTAATTCATATTTTCAGCCCTCACATTCCCCTCCACCTTGTAAGTACGTTGAGCCCTCGATAAAAATGGCATTAGCTTTGGGTCCAACTTCTCCTCCATCCCTTCCAATACTTTCAGCTCACAATTTTTACCTGACGATGTATTCAGCAGGATCTACCATTCCGCCCTTCCCTTTCCTTATCCTATCGTCCAAAGAATTTTAAGTACCTCTAGAAACCCCCCCCCTTCCGCCCCCTGCCCTCGCTTCCTTCCTTTGAAGGGAGTTCACACTATTTACGTTATTGTTTTGTTTCAGATTTTTTTGTGAGAAGAAAATAATATAAATATACTATGTATCTAATGATTCAATGTCCAATTTTCAATGTTCAATGTCCTTAGATTGTCTGTTTATGGCCGTCAAGCGGTCCTTTGAGACCACGGAGAGCCATTTGGAGATGGGGCTTGTAATGTGAAGGGGACCAAAAACCCTTTAAACTCCGTTGTCAAAAGATAAAAATATTTTTTTTCTAGAGAGTGAGGATGTTTCTCTATGTCTGCCATTAAAGTACGTGACCGCTGATCTACTTGGCAAATACGCATCATTTGTCTACAGTCATCAGCGCAGGTGAGGAAAATGCCATTACTGGAATGAATGAATAATCTGTCCCGTGAGTATCCACTAATAGCGTGACCATGCGTAGCAACCTTTTAAAGCTGCGATGCACATAACTCTAATTATCATTTTTGGACGAGTTTCGAACTTATTTGGTTGAAACGAATTGAACAAATCTCATTATCATACGTCGCATTTCAATTTGTTAGCTAGCAAAGGTTGTTTTATCGAGGAGCTTTTGTCTTTGCACTTTTTCTCGAAAGTTGCGACTCATGTCTTGATCAAATTCCATTTTAACAGGTACAATTTTGTATCGAAATAAGCTGAACTTTTACGACTAAACGTAGAATACTGCTGATGCATGGTGCGACTCGATCAGGGTGCATTTAAGATGTGCATTTTTTGACATGTAAATGATTTTACGGTCGTGAATTTCTTTTTAAAATTGTTTGATCTATCAATTTATATGTAAATTTGCAAGCTGAGAAATTTTTGAGCCACAGCAGGGCTTATATTTTTGGATAATTCTTCAAAAAATCCCCGATAAAAGGAATAAATAATATATTCCCGTCATTGTTGGTTTGTATGGCTTTTACCTAAAGCTGAATGCAAATTGTTGTCAGAGGAATGCCTGCAGGTTTCATTTTTTTCCCGGAGCATGGGTGGAAACATGTTTCTCCTACTCCATTTAAAAACTGGCCTAATTGCACTGCTTGAGTTATAAGATGTTCTCGCAATCTAAGGAAATCTTAACTGAAGAAAGGTAAAATGACCGGAGTGTGGATTTTCCTCTCGATGATCAAAAAGAAAAAAAGAGACTTGTGGAAAAAAACGCAAGGCTCCGGTTGTAATCAGAATGCAGACGAACTAGTTATTAGCGCTGATCAAGGGTAAAATAAACTGGACAAGTGGTCTGTTATTTTATGCTAATAGAATGTACGTGGTTGTAGGAGAAAAATATTTATTCACGTATTGATTTCACCATGCCGTCAAAATTGATCTGAAGGGACCTGTTCAAAGAAGATATGAGGAATTGAGAGGGTTATATAAAATAGATACGATTTTTGAATATTACTTTGAGAACATCAAGATAATGACAAATGCATAGTTCAGTGTATATTTTGCGTAGTCCGTACATTAAATCTTCAAATTTCCCGCGTCTCAGCGGCTGACAAGGATGCTTTGATGACGCCGCAGCGATGAGAAAAAATCTAATTTACATAAACAAACGATTTAGAAAACTTTAAGTCTACATCGTTCTTAAAAAGGAAAATGGTTTGTGTCCTCTTATAATTAATTTTTAATTAATAAAAGTAATATTTTCTTAGGCATGTATTACACGCGCATGGATTTCTCTAAACTGATAAGATGATAACTTAGAAGTATGTATGAAAAAAAATATACCAATGTATCCGTATTGATCCATCCTGAACCTGTTCCTTCCTCTTTTTATCATTTATATGTTTATTTATTTACTTTTTGTTCCTTTTTTTGTGAGCCACAAGACTCAAGGTGATTTCAATGTACTCAAGATATTTTTTCGCGATCTGTATGTCGATAGTATGTATGGCACTACAGTGAAAAAGTACGCACTAACAGTGTGATTAAAGGAGCTAGAATGAAAATTATGCTTGGCGATAAAGAAACAATGAAAAATAAATAGTGGTATCATCTTTAGCGTATGGGTGAGTTAAGAACTGACAAGAGACAGTGAAAGAAATTCACAATATCGTCGCCCCTCTGACGTTAGGGCGTATCTCAATATCCACTTGAGCCCCACCTTACAAATAAATTCATGCTTTTTGGGGCTCGTGCAGAAATCTAAATACGCTCTTACGTCAGAGAAGCGACAATATGTGACCGTTTAAGAGAAAAAAGATGCTGGTCCATGGAGAAACATTTTCAGCACTTGAAACGAAATTGGTCAAATCGGATTAAATAATTGAAGTTTGACAACTTAATGACAGAGAACTCTCTCTAGTACCTCATTGAATATGCTGTTGATGGTCAAGTTCATTTTTGTGCCGATAAAAGACGTAATGCACATTAGAGACCGGAAATCTCAGACTAGACCATCGAAATGTCTGAGTGGATCTTCGAATAACTTTGCCTTGAGACAGATTTTTGCATATGGAAAATTTCAAAGCTATTTGGAACTATAGTTTTGTTTAAAATTCATGCAGAGTATTCTTCATCCCTATTGTTTGCAAAGCACTCCTCCGTGTTTCGGTATCAATAACTTAATTTTTGCATTAAGTCATGCAGCAAAGTCTTAAAAAGAAGCGGGGAAAGCATAACTTTGAAGTGCGCTTTAATTCTAAAATTGGCTCGCATGTGAAAGCATTGTTTCATATTTTTCGCACAAAATTCTGAAAGTTATGTTGAAGTTTTCTCGTAGACTGTTTTTTACAACCCTTATCGTCACAGATGATCAGATTTTTTTAAAAAGAGACCAAATTCAAAAATATATACACTGCAGAAAAAGTATGAACATTGTATCGATAGCTGAAAATCGAAAAACTTATACTTTCAATTGCGACGCCGTAAATATCCACCCATATTTATATATATTTTATTGGAAAAAAAACTAACTCCCTGACGGGTTTCTTTTTTTTTAAAAATAAAAGGAAGAAAATTCTGTGAATTTTTCCCAGTCATTTAACATTCACAGAAAATTACGAGGATTTATTTTGTTTAGTTCCCTTTTAAAGGAAATAAAATATAATTAAACATTTTGAAACGTTGCAATAGAGATACGCATTTCTCAACTTTAGCCATCAATATCAGGCAAATATAGTAGTTTTTTATATTTGTACATAATGTGTGATAATATTAATGTATAATGCTCGAACTCACGTACGGTCTATTTCGGCGCTTTTTCACGAAACAACATAACTACATTAAACAAATATTGCCGAATTTTTCCGCGCAAATTGCGTATTTACCAGAAAAATTTCGGGTACTTATAACTGAAACTTTCACAAATTCTCCTCTTCATCTCATGCAAAAATCAGTCAAAATTTCACCAAAAATTTCGCAGGTTTATTTTCGTAAAAAATTAAATTGTCTGGATCAATTTTGCAACCCTGGAATGGAATTACGTTCCTTCGTGCGGGAAACGACTATTTGTCCGATGCATTTCTATTAAAGTTTTGTACTGGTGCTAATTGGATTACATTTTGCAATAAGGAACCACTATTTCCGGCCCATTTCAGAAACAACTTAAATGCCATTGGTTTCCCTATGCAGATATGTGCTTTTATGGGAGAGTCAGAGATAGTGGTTCCTTTTTGCAAAATTTAATCTAATTAGAGTTAAAAAAAATGTTGTCTCTAATTGCTATGTTTGGAATTTCTCGGCTTTGAAATATCCGCGAAATGGTGTTGACCCAGCACCATTTCTCCACTTTTTTACATACAGTTTCGAGTCTTTTTTTTGTATCTTTTCTCGTTTCTATTATAAATAAAGTGAAATAATTTTTTTTCCCGATCGATAAAGAAAAAACCCCAAAAATCCATAAAAGAGTACCGTACCTGCTCGTTAAGGTGACAACCAGGAAGCACAGGTAAGAAATCCAAAAAAATCCTTGGCACACACAGCACTGATAAAACCCACGTGAGAACTCACGGAGACGAACGAGAGGCGCGCACGGACACGGGTTCGGGGTGGCTGGCGAGCACGAGAGGATCGGTTCAACTGATCGCTGGACGTCGCGGCGGATTCGGCGCGGCTCCGACGGCGACTTGACCTCCACCCCCGCCCGCCCCCCTCCCCGGGCAGGAGGACCCGCGCCCTGGACCGGCCCGGCCGCGAAAAGCTCGGGAAACCCGGAAAACTATCCGGTTGTCGAGAACTCGATCCGAGAACTAGAGACATCCAGTGCGAGGCCGCGCGTTCGGACCAGCCCGCGCATGGGAAATGGACTGGGAAAAAACACATTTGATCTAGAGTCCAGACTCTTGAAAATATTGTCAAGAAAAAGTACTCTTGATTCAATCGGATTTTTGCTTGAATCAAAAGGAAATTTGATCAAATTAAGAGGCTTGGTTCTTGACTTAAGCTAGATTCTGATTGAAAAAAGAAAACTTTTTCTTGTCGATGTTTTTAAGAGTCTGGATTATAGATCCAATGTGTTTTTTTTTTCCAGTAAGGACGTACAAATAATTCGTCATTTCCTAAGACGAAAGGACGTAACTTCGTCACAGTGTTGCACAGTTGATCGAGTCAATTGAAGAGGTCGGAAATGAAAATTTTGACTAAAGCTTCAAATTTTGATGTTTATTTTGTCAAGCTTAAAATGTCAAGGTGTGCCTCTGGTGGAAAATTTCACGAGGAAACCAATAGAACCACTTTTAGAACCTCAAACTTTTGTATAAAACACTGAGAAAAAAAAAAACACATTGGATCTAGAGTCCAGACTTGAAAACATCCACAAGAAAAAATACTCTTGATTCAATCAGATTTCAGCTTAAATCAAGAACCAAGCCTCTTAACGGCATCGCAGCATAAAGACGACGGCATGATCGAGTCTGGAGGATTCTCTCGATGAAAGCTTTGTGCAGATCAGGGTGACATAAACCATATCGAAGGTAAAACTGCGAATAAACGCGTACCAGTGTGTGGTGTTGAATACTTCCTACGTCATACTTTACGGGATAGCATAGCTATAGCTCCTTATAATTTTCTAAACAGAAAAATTACTTAACGTCATTTCTTGAAATTTTGCTTCTTTGTCTCAAGAATATTGTGCGACAATTTAAAGTCATGGTGATGATGGTCTACTTAAAAAATACAATAGGAGCGGGGATTTTGGAACACCGCAATCCTTCGATATGCTCCTAAACGATGGCTAAGATAAGCGAATCCGTATCTTTATTTCAAAGTTTAAAAATCTACGATGATCTCTATATTTTTTTTGAAGAAAACCAATAAAAATATCTCATCGTATTCTCTGTGACAATGTTTGAATAACCAGTAAAATTCACAGTTAATTTCAAGACAAAACTGTTGATAAGATGTTCTCAAAGAAAAAAATCAATAGATAAAATAAGAGCGGAGTATTATTACGTCGCAATTAAAGATACACGTGTTTCAACTTCAGCTATTTATTTTTTAAGAGGCTAGACATTTTTGCAAATAGTTCATGAAATCCATCGAGGCTGCGGAATTCATAAAAAAATGAAACAATTCAATGAGGAGTTACTTGAGAGATAGGATATCTTCGTGTTCATGGAATCGCACGATGCTATGGAATTCGTGGGAAATTCACGAAAAAATCAGACGAATCAACAAAGTCAAACGGATATTCCAGACAAAGTTCATGCGAAGTGGGACAACGCGAAGGTCTTTCAGGAAGTTCCTTGCATGTCAACCCTCACGACGCATCCCCCCTGACTCGAGTGTTCACGTCTTGAGAGAACCAGGCGAGGGTCAAGTGAAGCTGTAAGCGGCCGGGTTCAGTATGACGTATATGTTTGTACACAAACCGCCATGTCAGTATGGAAATATATTCACGGCACGGCTCCTGAAGAGCTTTTCGACAAGGCAATTAAAAAGTCGCGTTATCTCCGCGACTTGAAGATCTCCGGGATTCCTTCCTCGAGTTCCCGTCACACAATGGATCAAATCAATAGGAGGGATCGGACAGAATTTGGAAACTTTGAAAGCTTATATTTCTGTTTATACACAATTTTGAGGTTTTAAAAGTGGTTGCATTGGTTTCCTCGTAAAATTTTCTTTCTAAAGCACCCCTTGAAATTTAATTTGTGACAAAATAAACATCAAACTTTGCGGTTTTTGTCAAAAAATTCATGTCCGACCTCCTTCACTGATTCGATCCACTGTGCGTCACCCGTGACTTACCCGGCCATTAGTGAGATGCAGATTGTTTGTCCGCCTCTTTCGAGTCTAGTTTGCAATTGCATTAACCACTCGAAAACTACCGCTGCAGTTTGCACGCAGTAGAAAAGACGGCATCCCAGAGCGCAGTTTTGCTCACAATCAGTGTTGTAGATCTGAACGGATCATTTGCGGATGTGATGAACTCGTTTTAAAGATGCTTGCACATTAAAGCTCAATGGAGAATGTCGAATACAAGAATAAACATTTCAGAATTTTTATAGTACACGAGAAATGCCCATTTAACCAGTGTAATTTTTCATTTTTTGTCACAATTCGTTCTGAAGATCTACCGGGGCGATTTTTATGAATTTTAAGGGTATCGATATTAGATAGTCCCTAGATGAGCCCCCTCTATTTAATTTAACTCACGGGGGCCCACGTAGCAAGCTTCAGAGAACGCGAAGCGCCTTCTAGAGGGTAGGCCGCGTACCGGCCAGGGGGCGTGCCCCCTAATTTTAAGTAGGGCATTCCCACCCGTCACCGCTCGTCTTCTTCAGATACGTGCCAACTTGTTCGATTATCAGATGAGCCGGCGAGTGAAAACTGGATGAGAGACAGTAAAGCGTCGTGCTTTGCGATAAGTCGATTGATGTGCCATTTAAACCGATGGGAAAGGGTCGATTATCAGGGTGATCACAAATAATCGATTCTTCAGCATAGTTTCCAATAAAATAACATCGATAGTCAACGATTCGTGCCTCGCCACTGACGAGAGACCTACTTTGGTTTAGAGCAAATAATTGCTGTAGACGTGAATGATGCAATGTCTCGTCACTCCTTCTTAACTCCCGCACCGAGTCTCTGAGAGCTGATTTTTGAAATTGATAGACGAAGCGATAGACAAAGAAGACACAGGAGGCCTGGAGGAATCCCATTGGTTGAAACGGTTGGCTCTCATAGACTAAGGGGTAAAATGATGGACTAACTGTAGGGTCTCTTATAGCTTGCCGTTAGTTAGTCTGTAACTTACCTCCTTTGTCTATTGCAACCACACGCTTCCACTAATAGGATCGCTCCACTCTTATTATTCCATCACTTTGTCTATCAATTGGACGTATTTCTATCAAACAGACCTATGTGCAAGTGAGAAATATAGGGTGTGCTCGTTAGTTCTCTGGTCGTAAGAGTGAGTGAGAATAATAAAGCGCCAGTGACGTCAACGGTGATGGAAATGCCGCCGTTCGCCGCGGTCCCGCCTCCGCTTCGTCTTTAACTCATGAGCCCTGTCCACAACGCTCTCGTCCCATCCTCGCGGTTCATGACTGCCGCATTCAGTTGGCACATAGGTCTGTTTGATAGAATGTAATGCCCCGCTTTTCCAATTCTTCAAAAGGAATCACGCACACTTTTACATTGCTTCTTATGCAGCTTCGACGAGCACACCCCATATTTCTCACCCCCACATAGGTCTGTTTGGTAGAAACACGTCCAATTTTAATAATCAACCCGCTGAACTCTCAAATTAAGTCACAAGTACAGAGTAAAAATTCAGAACCCAGAGTGGATGCCATCAGGTGTTGTTAAGATCGTACAACTGTTTTCTCTCATATTTTACTCCAATGGCCTGAAAATGACAATTCTTGTCGGGAAAACAAGACCCCAAAAAAATGTATCCATAAAAAAGCAACGAATCGAGGGCATCTAGACTCATTTACAGTGAGGAAGAACGTGCACTATCTTATCAAGCTTTGGTGGTGAAAAAATTATAGGGACCTATTTTTGTGGCTACCAACTTTTTTAGGCCACGTTTGCCAAGAAGTGAATAAAAATGGGCAGGGGGTGGAACTATGGTTTGTACTCGATACTTGAATGCTTTCCAACAAAAACTTTACTACGATGAGCAGCTAAACTGTATCGATTTATATGCACTGGTTTCTTCACTTAAATTAAAAAATGCAACTCCCCTTCAAATTCAGCCGATTATCGATCTAAACGATAGAAGCATTTAAGACTTGTTTTCTACTCCCAGACATGGAATCCAGTCGGACAAATATTCCTTGCAACAAGATATTAACCCCTCGGATTGCCCTCGCAACGTTAAAACCTGTTATTTTACGAGGTTTTAAACCCCACCAACCTAAGACTATATTGATTTATTCAAACGAGATACTAGCCGATCACTGCACTTTGTTTTAGTATTGATCTCTGATACCAACGACGTTTCTAGAAGGGAAATCGCATACCTACGGCTCACGGTGGATCGAGTCAATAGGAGCTAGGCTGGACAAAATTTGGAAACTTTAAACGCTTATAACTCCATTTATTCAAAACTTTGAGAATTTAAAAGTGGCTCCATTGGTTTTCTCGTGTTTTCTGCCGGAACCACCACTTAAAACTTAAAATATGACAAAATAAACATCGAAATTTGCAATTTTAGTAATAAATTTTATATCCGACCTCTCTGATTGACTCTATCCACTGGGCGGCTGTGCTGCCATGAACTCTGCATGAGCCATCAGATATTGCCAAAATTCTTAATGTAAAACACGAATTTGTGGGAGACTTGTGAATCTTCTTCCTCCAGTTTCTCAGAGAATTTTATTTGTGATTTGACTGTAAAAAGTATCTAAATATGCAGATGAAAAATATTCATAACGTTCCTTAGAAATAATTTTTTCAGTCGATATTTCACAGCATTTGAATGTTCACAAGATGCACTTTCTTAGCATAGCTGTAATAATTGTCCTGGCAGTCTTTCCCCTAAGACTTAGGGCAAAATGTTTTATACATATAAAAAACAGGTAACTTGCGAGTCTCACTGCTGTGACCTTGGTAGGGAAAACCAGTACAAATTATATGGCAAGGGGTT